GGAGAGTATGAACATTTTAGTTGATAAATTATTCATATTATTGGTTAAATTACAAAATCAAGGTAAAAACTTTAGCGAAACGAAAAATTTTCTTATTAAAGGCATTGCTCTTTCTACTAAACCAATTGAAGATATTTTAACTGGCTTAAAGAAAATCTACATAAATCAAAAAATGTTTTTTTTCTTGAAATTTTTCTTATTACAATATGCTCAATTTAGATGAAAATAATAGTGAAGGATTCATATACTTCTTAAAAATAGCTGAAAAATATCCTATTGCACAAGTGTACTTAAGTAGATGTTATATTAAAGGATTTGGAATTGAATTCAATAATGATTTAGCATTTTATTTGATGTAAAAAGCGATAGAAAATGGATATATTTGCACTCAATATCTTAGCAAAGGAACTGATGCGGATTTGGAAAAGGCAATTTATTGGTATCAAAAAGCTTCAGAAAATGAAATAGATAACGCAATGTTTAATTTAACAATATGTTATAAAAATAGAAAAGGAACAGATGTAAATTTAGAAAAAGCAATTTATTGATATAAGAAAGCTGCAGAAAATGGAATTGATAATGTAATGTATAATTTAGCAAATTGCTATGAAAATGGAAGAGGAACAGTAGCAAATATTGAAAAGGCATTTTATTGGTATCAAAAAGCTGTAGAAAATAAAAATAGTAATGCAATGTTTGATTTAGCTTTATGTTATAAAAATGGTAAAGGAACAGAAGTGAATTTAGAAAAAGCATTTTATTGGTAATGCAATGTTTAATTTAGCATTATGCTATGAAAATGGTGAAGGAACTGATATAATTCAAAAAAAAAGCATTTTATTAGTACCAAAAAGCTGCTGAAAATGGGTTTGCTAAAGCAATAAATAATTTAGCTACTTATTATTTTAATGGTAAAGGAATAGATGTAAATTTAGAAAAGCATTTTATTGGTATCATAAAGCAGCAAAAAGCGAAAATAATAATGCAATGTTTAATTTAGCTTTTTGTTATGAAAATGGTGAAGGTACAGATATGAACTTAAAAAAGGCAATTTATTGGTATCAAAAAGGTGCAGAAAATGGAAAAAATAATTCAATGTTTAATTTAGCTTCATGCTATAAAAATGGTAAAGGAATTGGTGTAAATTTAAAAATAGCATTTTATTGGTATAAAAAAGCTGCAGAAAATGGAAATAATAATGCAATGTATTATTTAGCAAATTGTTATAAATATGGAGAAGGAATAGAAATAAATTTAGAAAAAGCATTTTATTGGTATCATAAAGCTGGAGAAAATGGAATTGATAATGCAATTTATAACTTAACAATTTGTAAAAGTGAAAAAGAAACAGATGTAATTTTAGATAAGGCATTTTATTAGTATTAAAATTCTGTAAAAAATGAAAATAAATTTGCTCAATACCATTTAGCTAAGTTTTATCAGATTGGATGGAAAGTTAAAAAGGATGAAATTAAAGCATTTGAATTATATAAAAAATCAGCAATACAAGAATATAGTGATACACAAAATAAGTTAAAGTATTTTTATGAAAATGGTATAATAATTAAAAAAAATTTAGAAAAAGCATTTTAAATTAGCAAAAAATCAAAATAAAGTTGAAAAATATATTTTAGGCAATTATTATTATTATGTAATATTTGTTAAAAAAAGATATTAATAAGGCATATAAATGGTATAGAAAATCAGCTAACTAAAATTATAATAATGCACAAAATGATTTAGGATATTTTTACGAACATAGTATAAATGTAGAAAAAAATTTAAAAAAAGCATTTTATTGGTATCATAAATCAGCAAAAAATGAAAATTATATTGCTTAATACAATTTAACTATTTGTTACCAATATGGATTATGTATTGAAAAAGATATAAATAATGCTCTTATATGATATAAAAAATCTGCAAAAAATGAAAATAAATTTACATAATTTAATTTAGGATTTTATTATGAGAAAGGTGTTTATATTAAAAAAAATTTAAAAAAGCATTTTATTGTTATCAAAAATTAGCAAAAAATGAGCATGATATTGCACAATATAAATTAGAATATTTTATGAAAAAAGTATTGGAATTAAAGAAGATTTAAAAATGGCATTTTATTATTATCATAAATTATCAGAAAATAAAAATAAAGATGCTTAATATAATTTAATTAAATGTTATATACATGAAATAGGAATTAATAAAGATTTAGAAAAAGCATATAAATGGCATCAAAGATTAGTAAAAAATAAAAATCAATTTGAAAGGAGTTTTGGAAAATATAAAGCTAATAGTTAAAATATTAATGCAATTGAATTTATTAATAAAACTTTAAATAATCAAGTTAAATTTATATTCTTTAATGAGTTTACTAATTTAGAGTTACTTGATAAAAGAGGTTTTGAAAGTATTATAAAAGCAACTTGGTTGAAAACTGGTAATTTAATTGTATTTAAAAGATTGATAAATACAAATGCTTTCAAACAAGATGCTTTTATTTATGAATTAAAAATTTATTTATATTTTAATTATTATAATCAAATTATACATTGTTTAGGCATTAGTCAAAGTAAATATTAATTATTTTATTTATTTATTTTTAAAAAATAATTGCTTATTAATTTTTTGATTATAGATCCAAATACAAATGAGTATCTTCTTGTAATACAATATGCTAATGGTAACGATCTTCAAAATTATCTTAAAAATAATTTTAATAATTTAACTTAGTATAATAAGAAAAAGTTAGCAATTCAAATTGCCAATGGATTAAATTACTTACATAATGAAGAGGTTTTGTATAGAGATTTAGTAAGTTGTTTTTTTTTATTATATTAAAATAAATAAATAATTTTATTTTAAATTATATAATCTAATTTAGCATTTTAAGAATATACTTATTCACAACAATAATGCTAAAATTTCTGATTTTGGTATTTCAAAAATTGGAAATAATTCTACTACACATATTGGTCCTTATGGTAAATTTGCTTATATAGAATCACAAATACTTTGTAATCATAATTTTCAGTATATTAAGCCTTCAGATATTTATAGTTATGGTGTATTAATGTGGAAAATTTCTAGTGGATATCCTCTGTTTAGAGATCTTAATGGTGCAATAATTTGTGCTATTATTAGTAATAAAACTCGTGAAAAAACTATACCAGATACTCCTAAGGATTATGAAATACTTTATAAAAAATGTTGGGATCACGAACCTGAGCAAAGACCAACTATTACAGAAATATTAGAAGAATACTCAAAGATGAGCTTTATAAATAAACTGATTAAAAGTATGTTTAAAGCATTAATAATTTTTATACTAGTTTATTAATTTAATAAAATGAAGTTAACAGAAATTTTTTTTGAATTGGTCAATAACAAGTTAAATAATAAAATTAAAGTCATACATTTTGATGAGTTAATTGATTTAAATCCACTTGATGAAGGCGGTTTTGGAATTATCATAAAAGCAACATGGTCAAAAACAAATGATTATACTGTTTGTAAAAAATTAACTAATACAAGTATATTGAAATGTAATGAAGATATATTAAGCGCATTTATTCATGAGTTAAAAACACATTTGCACCTTAATTATAGTAATCGTATTATACGTTTCTTGGGTATTAGTCAAGGTAATTTAATAAGTTTAATTATTTGTTTTGGTAATTTTTAATTACTAATTAAAATTTGTTTGTAGATCCAAGCACAAATGAACTTTATTCTGTAATGGAATATGCAAATGGTGGTAATCTCAAAGTTATCTTGAGAATAATTTCGAAACGTTAACTTGGAAAGATAAAAAAAAATTAGCTTTTCAAATTGCAGATTGATTGATTAAATTATTTGCATAACGAGGATGTTTTACACAGAGATCTTGTAAATATTGCATTTAATTATTTTATTTGATAAATGTTATACAAATTATTAATGATTTAGCACTCTAAGAATATAGTAATTCATGAAGATAATGCCAAAATTACAGATTTTGGAATTTCAAAATTGAAAATAATTACACAATTCATATTGGACTTCTTGGTAACGTCGCCTATATGGAACCACAAATACTTGCCGATCAAAATTTTTCAATATGTTAGGCCTTCAGATATTTATAGTTTTGGTGTTTTGATGTGGGAATTTTCTAGTGGACATCCTTCATTTAAAGATAAGTTTGATAATAATCAAGACCTTATTATTGCTATTACTTGTCAAACTCGTGAAACTACTATTGCGGACACGCCCGAGGATTACGAAAAACTTTATAAAAATTGTTGGAAACATTTACCTGAGGAAAGACCAATTATTAAAGAAGTATTGAAAATATTTTTGAAGATGGGATTTGGAAGAAAGATTGATGATGAAGATGAAGTAGCCAAAAGTAAATACTTGTAATATACTTTTTTTTTTATTTTATAATTTATATTATTTTTATTAAATTATTTTCAATCTATAAATATAGACATAATTACAGAACATATTAACGCTAATAATTCAGATCCTAATTCACAAGTTGGCGATTCTATCCAAATTAATAATGATGAATTAGATGGTAAGGTTGTCTATTTAAATTTATTGATTGTATAAATTAAAAAGCTTATTAATTTAAATTTTAATCATTTAATTGTATTAAAAAATTATGAATAAGATTAGAACACTTTTTATTTATTTATTTATTGCTTTTTATTTATTCATTTTAAATAAGTTTAAACGAACATCGTATGTTTAGAAAAGCTATTAATAGTAAAGGCAGTTTTAATCTCTTAAATAAAGCTTTTTAAATAAAATATAATAAAAAGGTGGTATTTTGTTTTATATTTTAATTCTACAATAAATGTTGAATATGTTTCTCAGATCTGAAAGTGTTACGAAAGCAACTATATTTATTTGCATAATTAAATTCGGATATTTGATTAATTATGATACTAATAGTTCACTTATTTTCTGTATCGAACTATCAATTTACTATCAATTAGAATTGTAATTTACAAAAGATGGATAATTCAACCATGTCTTACGTAATTAGTAATGTCATTGTAAGTGATAAATGTTGTTATATTTATGTATGAATCATAAATAAGCTTTAAATAGTTTGTATGCGTTAAGGTCCGAATTGATACCCAAACACGAATTTCGTATGGAGTGCTTTTGTTCCAAACATGAAATTGTCCCTTGAGATATCCTTAATGTCCACATCGAACCCGTCTTTAAGGACCAATTTTGAATGCACTAATGAACACATTAATTAGGAAATTAAATACCTTCTATAAATATCTACCATTCAAACATCTGAAGTGGACATTTTCGATATCCCAAATTGACAATTTGAGAAAATATTGGATTAGGCGTTGGAATTGATTTAAAAATTTATCAATCGAGTTTATGGTTTCGATTAATCGATTCTAATCGATCTTATTTATAACGCGCGGACAATCACCAAAAAAAGAAATTTAAATGTTATGCCAAGAAAATATTATTCATAAAAAAAAAATTTACATTTTATGATACTATACTTTAAGCGCAGGTGATTCTAATACATTAAAATAAGGTTGAACAAATGCATTCACGATATTATTGCGTACTAATCGTGTAACGCTAGCTAAAAGTTAAAAAGTTTATACTTTTAATAGTGTATAAATCAATTCTTTTTTAATATGTTTAAATCAGAGCAAAGTAGATTACTAAAAAAAAAAAATATTTCATTTATTGCTTCATTTAATACAATCGAAAAAAAAATAAAAGGTTACAACTGAAGAAAAATTTGAGATATTGCTTCTTGCCTTCGAGTAATAGATATCATGAAAGTGTTGGAAATGATTCTTTAATTCGGATTTTCTAAATGAAAATTCTTGGACAAGTTGACATTCGAAGCGGACAAATTTTATTCAATTTTTTGAATTCTATTATTCATATTTTTTCCATGTATTTATTTTATTGACAAGAGCTTATAATACTAGCGCCGAAGGACCATCACCAGTGTTGGCCTTTTCGACTAATGGACTTTTGGACCATTGGACTATTGGACTATTGGACTACTGGACTTAGTCCATTCCAATTCCATTAAAATTTGGACTTTGGACTATAGACTTCGTCCAACAGCTATAAATTTATATTTAATTTTCGCAATTATTATGTAAATCTTTTTATTGATATTTATTAGAATTTTTTAAATAATTAGGTTCTCCAAACCTGAAAAATCCAGATCAGTCAGTAGAAATTGTTCTAGTGAGCGATTTTATTATTGTCCAAAATTTATAAGTTAGGCTAGCATTATAAATTTAGCCAGAATTATAATATATAAAATTATAATTTGGCCAAAATTATATAATCAGAGTCCATTTGAATTGGAATTGGACTGGACATCTCCATTAGTTCCAAAGTCCAATAGTCCATTATTGGGAATTGGACAAGGTCCAATTCCAACACTGACCATCACAATATTAATCTTTTTGTTATTTATTTTAATAATTTGGGAATTAGGTAACACAGCGAGTCCTTTTACAAAACGAAAATTAAAAAAGAATTACCAGGATAAAAAATTCTCAAAAAACAATTTTTATGAAAAAAAGAAAGATCCAAACTTCAGAACAATAAACTCTTACAACATTCAAGCAGCAGACGAACAAAAGCATTCCAACCCGTGAGACCCCTTGCCACAGGTAAATAAATAGCTTTATAAGAAAAACAAATCGTTTTATTTATCGTTGCTTGAAAATATACTTTGCTTAAGAAACCTCTCCTTACGTTTATATCTTTTGTGGCAAAGCAAATGACGTTGCATCCTAAATATTTCCACTAAATCATAAAACAATAAGAGTTTTCATTTTTTGTTTTTGTCCGCATTGTCAAGTAAAAAAGCAAGCTTTCATCAAGCTATTTTAAAATTACAAAAAATTAAAAAGTTGTTACTCTTGCACAATAACAAAAACATTAATTCAGTTGACTATTATCAAATTTCCAAATGAAATCACAGCAAATAAAAAATTTATTGATTATATTTTCGCTTCAAAATTCCATAAATTGTGGGGAATAAATGTCCCTACAGCTAAAATATCAGAATTATGCACAAAAATTTTGTTTGTGTGAAAGTCCTCTCGTGAAAGTTCTCGTGCCTTAGGAGCAATTGGACGAAAAGTGGATCTTGGATATAGGCATGGAAAAGTTAACCGTCTATTACGTCTACACTCTACGGTATTATGAAATCGATCAGAAGTGAATGATTAAATCGATCCCTAATCGTTTCAGCAACCAAATCTTTGAGGTCAATATTCAGACCTAGAATTGAACAGGTCTATAGTTTTAATATTGTCATCGTTATGATTGATTTAGCCAATAGGATTGTACCGAAGGATATCATGTGATGTTGCGTCATAACGGCTTTAAATCACCCCTTTTTACTTGAAAAAAATTTACTTCTTCTTGGATTTGATGACATTCCATTGGCACAATAAAATCCTATTTGTTACAAAATAGTGTTAAGAGTCCTTTCCTATAATTAATTATGGCTTGGGTCACGGACCGGAAGCTTCAACATCGAAGGTGTATTTTTTCTTTACTTTATATTTAATTTACTTTTTAAGCATAAGTCTTATAAATTTTCAGGTTTCGTTCCAAAATTTGTAATTTAGTGAATGCGTTATATTTGAAACTGACTTGTCATATTAAAGAAAGCTTTCGACAAATCCTAACTTTATGTTTAATATGGTAACCCCTGAAGGATTTTTAAGCTTGCGATTTTCATAAGAAATATGATTCCCATACCTTACAATTTGAACTTTTCGAAATATTCTAACCCTATCCTAACCAATAAAAATACATTCTATTACTTAAAAACATAATTTACGTTAATCTCAATTTTTTCTTCCCTTTTTATGAAAAGATTTTTCTTCCGTTCTATGGTACGAATTTAACGGGAAATATTGATAGATGAAGTAGATTTTACAGAAGTTTGTAAATTTCGAAATTGTTAATGGGAGGATACTTTTTCCCAAATTTACACCTATCCTTCATTGACCGACTCAACATATAATAATATATAATATTTTTAAAATTGTTTGAACATCATCATAAATTCTCCCAAATCCCTGGAAATTAAAAGTTCGAATGCCAAAATTGGGGTTAAATTGCATCCAATTACATTTTTTCATTTTCGATTTTTTCTTATTATTCATTTAATTCTAGTTTTTAGGGACAAACGTAAACCACTTATCGGCATAGAATGGATTCTGTGGAAGAAAATGGGACAAACTTTCTTGGGAGTTCATGACTATATTACTAGAGTACGCATCAGCTATTCACAATCTATCGCTATCTAATTGTGAAAATGGGTAGCAAAAATAATTCAAATAAGATATTTATTAAATTTGGATTACAAAAAAAAAAATAAACTGAATTATTAACTGTAACTCATTTTATATTATTAGCGAAGAGAGAGAATCATAACGTGGTTTATTAAATAATTACATAATTATTTATAAATTTTCTTTATTATTTAAGATCACGATGCTTGCACTTAGCCAGTTATATATTAATCTATAACTGTTTCTCCCGGACATCCCGTAGAGGTGTACAGGCAACATCCTTGACGTAATGGTTACAAGTATAAATAAGGAAGGAAATCTCCTAATACCGAGGAAACAAAAAAATAGAGCAAGCAATATAAAATGTATCTTTTTAATCCCAAAATAACTCGGTATAATGAACTTTAAAGCAAAGCTTCAAAGACCACTGGTCCATCATTACCGCTTTGACAATTTCTTCACAGGAAAATAAAGCTGAATAGACTGGAAACCGGGTTATTTGGCTGTAGGCAAAACTCCTAATTCTTCTCTTTATCTTCGGTGTACCAAAGAAAGAACTCAGTAATCTTCAGTTAAACAGTCATTTTAAGTTTTATACTTGAATGAAATACAAAAAAAAAGGAAATAAAATAGCAAATATACCTTCGGTGTTGAAGTTTCCGGAATAAGAGAAGCATTAGTCGTAAACTAATGTGTCAACATTAGTACTTACAATGAGCTAATTTGATTATCAACAACAGAATTATATCACATCATTATAAAATGTAGTCCTACAATTTAAGAAAAGAAACAATAACCACGAAAGATTACAAAACGTCTCTGTAAATATGCTTACAGTGTTGGAATAGACCACAAAGATGGCATAAACATTTTTTTAAAAAAAAATGCATTCCGTAAGAGAAGTGGTAATACAACATGTAATACTCTAGAAACAATATCTTCCCCAGTTTCGAAAACACTTATTTCACCCCACGTGATTTTTAGCCGGGATAATGTCTTTCATTGCGAAAAAGAAGCCTGAAAATAAAAAATAATAGTAATTATAAGTACAAACAAAATAAAAAAAGTAATATAAATATACACGAACTGAATAAAAAAAAATTATGAATGAAATACCTTTTCATTCTATTCTTCTTGGGACAAAGTCCCTACATTTTTTTATAAGTTGTGCGATTATCACCGAAGTAAAAAAAACAAAATCAATATCACATGAGGTTTCATCATCGAATACGATCAAATACATCAGGTAAAAAATATTAGGCCAAATTAAGAATTCAATTAACATATTTGGAAATGAAAAGCAAGCATTTGAATAAGACGAAAACATTTTCCGACAAGTTTTGAGCACATCTTATCTTTCTCATCGTACCTTATACAAAATTATGACCAAGTTACATGTTCTTTTCTTTTTCGTATTACAAAAAAATTCTCATAATAAACCACACCCACCTTGAATAAACTATCAGGGTCTTATCTTCTTTCAGCGAGAGACTATCTTCTAAAAAGCTTTGCTCCTGCCGTAGCTGATATTTGGATTTCAAATCTTAACCTGCTGGTAAGCTCATTATTCTTTATTAATGTACCTATCATTATCGACTATAATCTTCCTCTCGTCATCCCGTGTAAAATTTCTCCTTGATATTTACTTCTAAGCGTAACTGATATTCCGATCTATTGCATCTATTACCTTTTTTTACTATTTTTACTTAGATTCTATAACTAATTTCTTTTCACTTCTTTTTCTAGAATTTATTTTTAAACGATGAAGATACTTGGAGACGAACTTTTATTTCGTGTTCTGATTTCATACTTCCTTTTTTTTCACGATAATTAACAACTCATATTGACAAGACAAAAAAATTTAAAAAAAAATATGTGCTGTATTAGTGATAAACCTTATTAATTTTTAATTTTATTAGTAGAAGTAGACAAAATATGTGGAAGTGGCAAAATACGGTATACAATCTTTTGATTTTCGTAACTTTACCATTTTTTTTTAATTTTCTTTTCATCAAGATGGGGGGACCGACTTTAATTGTCTACAATTGAAAAGGGCCGGTACAACTGCTCGTGAATGGGTAAGGGTCTGCGATTTTCTGAAAAAGGAATTGCTATGCCCTTCCCTTATGTTATTCAAAAACTGTTTGGGTGCTCACGCAACCCGAGCCCTGTTGGGTATTCCTCATCTTTGTAGCATAGTTCATAATCGACCGAGCTGTATTGGAGACTCTCATCTTTGGAACGCAGTCGATAATCGATAGATATTGTAAATTACCTTTCTGATCTTTTTAGTCTTGTCATATGAGTTGTATAATTGTAATCGTATAGTTAAATTAAATAAAGTTTATCATGATTTTTTAAAAAAAATGTTTGTAATAAATAATATAAATAAATTTAATACAGGTTTTAATATTTGTAATCTGTATTTGATAATTAAGTTATTTTTCTAATATTTCACTCTAAAACGTTCTTACATAAGAAAATTCAGTCATTTTATTTATCGAATTCACATTAATATTTACAATAATAGATAAATATTAAATTCTGCTCCCAGCAAATTTTCATAAGCCGCAACTATATAAATAATAACTAAGCCACTCAAATCACGTGTATATTTTGGATTATTCTAATATTTTGACGCGTCAATATCCATATATATTAAATTTTCTACGTCTTATGTTATCTTTAAAATATTATTGAATCTAGTTTTAATATGAAATGAAAGTATACGCAATCGTACCTCTAATTATGAAAATTACAAACAAAAAAGAAGACGATGAGAATTCATAACGGTAAGCCTGTATTTCAATTTTCATCTGAAGGGGGATAACTGGGTGCGTCTTCAGGATTCCTGTGAGCTTTGGATACTTGAATGCTTAATTCTTGAACAAACTGTTGAAAGTTCTTTTATCAACTTTGTTATTAGCTTAATTTCAAACTTATATTGTTGAAAACGCCAATATTAGGGTTAACATTAAAAAAGAGAAGAAATTTTTGGTAAATTTTTCTAATTCTTTTTAACGGAATCCATAGATATTATTTATCTTTTAACTCATCATATTTAACCTGTCGGGCGGCTAATCTCATTATCATATAGTGAAATTTTCTGTGATTTCTATCTAAATACTGGCAAAACGTTTGCATCCTAATGAGAAATCTTTTTTAATAAATCTATACTTTCTCAGAGGTTTTTTCTTTTATATGATTTTAACTAATCATATTTGCTAGGCTTCTTCCAAGTGAGCGGCTAATCCTCAAAATTTTAGTAAAATTTCTTGCGATATTTGTCAAAACACTAGACACCCAACTTCAAACAACTGGCGCAATATAGAAAAACCTATGATTAGTTTAGTTACAGGACAAGATTACCATGAGGCTAGTTAGATATATATCAATTCATTTAATAAAATTTAAAATAATCAAAAAACCTCTCATACATGTAGCTGGGATCCTCTAAACTAAAAAGATATAGACCGTACAATTGCTTTTCGTAAAATAAATCTTATCAAAATTTTTTAATTCGTAATTGCCTTTTAATCATGTGGTAATTACTTAATTAGAAGTTCTTTTCACGCGAAAAGAATTACAATAATGGCGAGAAGGATTCGCGAGGTTTGCTTTTGGATAAAAGACGAGTCTAAAAAGATCTGGAATACCCAAGTCATATTATTTGTAATATGTTTGAATAACGCTTCTTCTTATTTGTAATTTTAGTTTTTTATGTACCCGACTTCTATAGAATCATAGCACTTTTAAAATTTTTGAATTTGTGTATCATAAAAGTAAATAAATAAATGTTTTTTAATTTAAAAAATTCTGACTTTTTTTTTATGATTTCCTTAAAAAATCTATACCCAAAGACATATCAATTGTGTATGTGTTACTATATTTGTTCTTACATCCACTCTAAATAATGTACTTGGCCAAAAATTTACAAAAAAGATCTATGATTTTTGTATAATCATTTCTTATTAATCAATAAAAGGAATGTTCCCGTTGATTGAAATTGTCAATTACTTTCTTATACTTCGTGTATCTATTAAAATTATCAAGGTTAAATATTATAAATAAATAAATAAATAAATAATCTGTCAAAATCCTGTCCCAACAATATTGTGATCACAATAACAAACAAAATCCTCGATTTCAATTTTATAATCTAACGTTAGTTCAGAAGATGCTTTGATATCTTTTTGTGCAAAAATAACTATTCATTTCCATCTCTTGTTACAAATAAACTATAAATATAGCTATAATTAATACAAATCACAATATGCGAAACTCAAACATGCTCCATTACGAATTCACCTTCTTTAATGAATGGAACGTTCTAACACTCACCCCTTTCTTTAGTTTTAAAGATTTAAAATATAAAAAGAAGACATCTTGTCATAATATAAGCTTAATTGAATAAAGAGTTTTCGTTTTGTCGTGATCGAAATCGCCTGAAATTTCTTTGGTGTCTTTTTGCTCCTTTGTATAACCCGATTCGGACAACTCAAGTCACAATTACATCGAAAATTCCATTCATAGGTTGCTCTTGTGTCTAATCCATCTTTCTCAAATGGAAATACTTTGCCTAATCAAAGATGAAAGTGAAATTTTAAAAATTGATAACCGATTCAGATTATAAATAAATATCGTAATACCATGAGTTTTCTCATCGATCAACATTACATCTATTTTCTACAAATCAATTTTAAAATTATATTATAATCCAAAAACTATTTCAAAATCGAAATTCCATAATCTTCAAATCTTTTATCAACATTTTTGAATGAATTTGAACCCTTTTAACTTACTTATTCTGATAATTTTACTCAAAGATAAATGCATGGTGTAAAATAATCTATGGAACATTGTTTTAAATGATTCGTATTACAATGACTTTGCTTCTGCAGTATAATCACATGACTAAGAGTATGTTACAAATTTGCCCATTAAATAATCTATTTCTTATTACGAGAAACTATTTGGACGACTCTTTTCCGATGAAGTAAGATAATTTGAATTTATACAAGCTGGAAGTATTCTAAAAGAATTCTTTGTACATGTACTGTATAATCATTAATTCTAGGAGCCAGGTCAACATGAACGGAATTGTAAATCAATTACTGAAACTTTTGGATTGAATATGCTGTTGTATCGTTTATGTATTTATATACAATTTTAAATGTAAGCAGAATGTATTAATTGAATAAAATGAAGTAATAATGACAAAAATATTTATCAAATTAATAAAATCAGAAATTAAAAATAAAAATAATAAACGATGTTACATATGCGATATTAAAACGGTAAAGGCGATAACTAACTTATCTCACTGGATCTTTAAGAATTGAGATACTTCACGAATTAAATCCACACATTTGATGTAATCAGACTCTTTTGAATAAATTTTCGGAATCAAATTTCCAATAAAAGATTTTTAAAAGTATAAATGGATATCATCTTCGCCATAGACGTAACTTATTTTATTCTGTACAAAAGTCATTGATTCATTATTGCAAGCTTGATTGATGAGGAAGTAAAATATTATTATGTTATGGTCCTAGAAATATGTCACATTTCTTTACCGTGGCAAATTTTTGCCAATAATTGCTTAGTATTGCTTATCGTAATATCGTTATCAATGAAAATCATATAAGACTCAAAAATCGCAACTGAAAATTATCAAACTAAACTTCTCTTAAATATGCCATCAGAAAAAGATTTGTTAATTAAACCTGGGTGGACTCGCTTTGAAAGTAATAAAGAGCCTGAATCAGTAGAATTTCCACGTGAAAATGTGTTGTGTTTTGATGTCGAAACGTTATTAAGTAATAGCAATTATGGTCTTATTGCATGTGCTGCATCCTCAAGTGCTTGGTATACCTGGATATCGCCACATTTAATTGAATTTAAAGAAAAGAGATTAGGAGAACTTTCCAAGAAAAATGGTGAGTGTAATAAAAAATAAGAAGAAACCCTAAAGTGAATTTTATGGAATGATGAGACAAGATCGAAAAAGACAAAGCTACTAAGAAATTTTGAAATAAATGACATTTCAGATCAGAATAATCAAAATTCGGCAAATGATGAAAGTATTATTGGGAAAAAAAATAATAAAAACCTGCTAGAGAAAAGAAAGGGAATAAGGATCTTGAGAGTATAGAAAATGAGAATGAAGTAGATAACCTAAACCTTATTAGAGATCACGAAATTGGTAGTTTAAAGACAAGATAATAATCGGTCATAATGTTTCATTTGATCGTGCAAGAATCTAAGAGGAATACCATTATAAAACATCTGGTAATAAAAAAAATTTTTTTTTAATTCCCCTTATGAGTTACTGGTTACGAATGGGATTGAAAAAATTCTTAATATTATTGCATTCCATTCGCAAATAAACTTTCAAAAAGCTTAACCTTTTGCAAAATATATAAGTTTTTTTTTCTATTTAATGTACATTACTGCCACTCAGGCTTCTTCTATCCTTGGTGTTTCCTTGTATACACTTTGTCAATGGCACTGCAACAGTAAAATAACAGCATTTCGTTCATCAGGTGGTGTGCGACTTTATGATGTCTCAAATATTGTGGATTCCACCGCCACTAAAAAAGGATTCCTCTATGCTTAGGTTTTTAGTGTCAAGCAAAAAGAGGACCTTGAGTAGCAGAAGTAACTCTTCAGCTCCTGGTTTCTAACCTATGAACTCAGCTCAGGTGTCAACTTCAAAAAACCAGGATGTAAGATTTTATTGGAATGGACAAGTCGCAGAATAGTCTCAGAAATTGTGGTTACCCATTGTGACTGATTCTGCCACTTTACCTTTGATCTCATCCAGTACATACTCTCCTTCCATTCTACAAAACTCGTAGTTCTCTTTGACAATGCGACCTGATGAACACAAACTTTCTCAAGATATCCTTGCAATCAACACAGTCTTTATCTGTCGAATGTAAGGAAGAAGAGCCGCTATTCACTGACAAGAACGTCAGGTTAGGAAAAAAGTGCAAAATAAAGATCAGGACAACATCAGCGCATAACAAGCGATAACACTTGGAAACCACTCTCAATCATACACTGCTAATCAAAGTGTATTCAAATCATTCTCAAAAGCAACTATTGAAACGTTAGATAGGCTTGATAAGATTTATAATGTAGTTGTTCACTGGAATTGATATCACTGTTTATATACTAAGAATTCACATATTGGTCCATCACAACGAGTTTGGATAAAACCTCAACCCATTGAAGATAAATTTAAACTTTATGCAGATGTTTGTGTAGGAAAAAGACGTTAATGAACATAAGGATATGAAACTTCAAAAATCATGTGTATAGGATAAACGCAAATTCGTACAAACTATTGTACATATTGAAATGCTACTTCAAAGTACATATAGAAAAGCACTTGCAAATATTATTGATGAGACAATTGATAAAGTATTGTCTGTTAAGTATAATTATTATTTTTTGATTCTTTTTTGTTTAAAATTTTTATTTATTTTTGATTTTTTTTTTGATTTTTTAATTAATTTAGGAATAAAATAATTAACCATAATATAGGATCAAACATAAAACAATGAGTTTTATCTTTATTATTTTGATCTCAAAAAGATTTATGACAAATAATAACAATTCGTTCACAAATTTTTCAAAATCCATATAGAATCGTTTTATGTCACCTATCTTCACAATCTATCAATACTTTCTATACATCGTTATAAACCTGTTATTATTCTGGATCATAATAAACATGATTTATGACCTCTTCATTTTGAAAAAAAGATGTAATAATAAGTAGATTGTTTCTTATAAGATAATATTTGATTGTAAAATCACATATATTCATAAAACTAATGAATGGAAATTTTCATGAGTTTATAAGATGCAAAAATAGCTTCGCAAAATCCAAACGGATGGTTCTGTTTATGTAGTCTCCATTGATTCTAGTATTCGTACACCCTTCACATGGTACTCTCCTACTAAAGATATAGGTAAAATTGGCCAATATGATATTAGATGAATTATTCGTTTATGCAAATATATGGATAATATTTCATTCTATAAGAGACAAGCTGACTTCCTCTAATTCAAAATGTAAAATATAAATGCCTTGCGACTTGATAATGCAATTTCTCAGATGATACGAAAAATCAAACATCTGCAAAGTGAAATCCATAAAAAGAGTGTTACATTTTTTACTTGCGAATTTGATGCCATTATTATTTCTTCTTTTGAAATATCAAATATGATAAATTGAAAAACAAGAAATATAATGCAAAAAATTGTTCATAAAATGCTCTTTTAGTCTCACTATCAATTTCACCAACATCTGGTAGTTAAAGCTGAAGAATTAGGAGTCAATGTTATTATCCAAAATGAGGCTTATACTTCAAAAACTTGTAGCTGGTATGGGAGTATTCAAAAAATAGGAGGATCTGAGATGTATAAGTGCTAAAATTGTGGAGCTATAATGGATCGAAATGAAAATGATGCTTGAGGAATTTTTTTTCAGGCATTGCTTGATGGAACCTTGATTCTCTCTGGAGATCATGCAGAAAATAATAGCGATACTTAGTATTACCTATTATTGATGTATTATAATTAGAGTAGCCTATTTTCTATGATAGCATAATATGTGCAGAAATCACAATTTTTCGCAATAGCATATGCTGTTGCAGATTTTATTAAGTTTGTATTTTTTGCATATCATATAGCATATCTGCAGTTAAGATCTATAGATTAAGATCATGATACGAGATATTCGTCATTTTTTCACCATCTCTTTTTTATAATAGTTTTAGTAACTGAGCGTAGACTTGAAAACTCAGAATATAAAAAGAATTTTTATATTGATAGACAAAAATTGTTTTATGAATTTTGCCAAAATGTCTTAAACTATAAAAAAATCTACATTAGATTTACATTTAAAATTGGACAAACATAAAAAAATGTACGCAAAGCTGAAAATAAAATAAAAGCTCGTCAAACCACTCTCAATATCAATAATAATGAGTTAAATGAACGCAAAGTCTTTAATACTGCTTTAGTAAAAGCATTTATACATGCAGACATATTACTTGAAAAAGTAGATAAACTTAAGGATTTTTTTTTGAAATTTTGTAAAAATAGTATGTAAAATCTATTTTATATTTAATTTATCATTTAACATGTTATTAACTCACTAATTATATTATAAGTGGAGCTATTGCAGGCTCTTCTTTATTACGAAAAAAATATTTACCAATTATCTTTAATATGAAGATTTCTAGTATGCAAGAAATAGTATATAATAGGCGTATATCTATTACTATTGATGAAACAACAGATGTTTGTGGTTAGGCGGCTATCAATATAATGTTTAATTTTGGTAATCAAACTAAATTAGTCAAAACAGAATTTTTAGATGATATCATTAATAGTACTATTATTGCTCAATTAGTTATAAGAACCTTATAATTTTATAATATTTCTCATGATAATCTCATTTTTTTTATTTCTGATAATGCAGCATATATGATAAAAGCCTTTCAAATATTATCTTCATTAATTTCCCAATTAAAGCATAACCGTTGTTTAGCTCACATTTTAAACTTGGTTGGAGAAACATGGATTAGTTATAAAAGTTTCAAATTTCTAATTAAAATTGTAGCAAATATAAAAAAATCCTTTATTTATTATCCTGC